TTTCCCTTCTCCCGGGATTTTGGGCACACATGTGCCCGACATGTCCCTTGAGCAGTGCGCCTCTCTGTCTCTCTCCATCCTGCTTCTTCTCTCCCTGCTGTAGTAACAAAATGCACTTTCTAGTAATAAAAAGTTTAAAATATATGACAAGTAGACTTGTAGCATACATAGACCAGCATCCACCAAGCATCTTGTAACTGTTGTCACAGTGGATAAGGTGTTTACCAGCTGTGTTTTTTAGGCTGTTGGGTCCAGGGCTGGAGCTGTACAGTTGGCCATATGTTACAGCTCCTTTAGCTACAAGGCCACAGGCTGGCCCACTAGACAAATTATGTCTAAACCTGGACGGATCCATCAAATAAGAGGAAAGGAGCAAACAGATTTTCAGAAATGTAAAATTTCAAAAAAGGTGGAGTAACAAAAAAAAAAACCAAGAAGTAGAAATTTAGAAAATGGACTCAACTTAGAAAGAAGCAGAATCCCCATGATAGTAAAGGAGCTTTCTAGGAACAGCTCTTTACATGGGATAAAGAACAACCAGACCGAATTGGAGCTTCTGCAGAGCTTTATCATAAAGGATGAAATTAGAGAATACGTGAGGTAGCCAACGTAGATTTAGACAATTAAGTGAGTTTCAGGATGAAATGTTACACACTTAGCGCAATAAAGGAAGGGCTTGAGAACCCAGAGGATACTTAACCTTAAAAAAAAAAAAAGAAAAAAAAGTAAAAAGAGAACAATAATTAACTTCAAGGGAAACTGTAAGTTATGCGGAGAGGAAACGTAATCATGAATAGTATTAACACGTGGCTCAGTGGTGAATAGCATCTATAAAGTCATAATAATATAAACATTGAATTCTTTTCTTATAGTTTGCTATAGGACATGTGCGCTTGCCAGGAGGAGAGAGAAAAATCACTGCCCCCCTGGGGGATGGCCATGCCATTTTGATTAAACCAAAATTAATGATTAAACCAAAATTAATGTTCTAACTATGAGAACAAAGGAAAAGACTAGAAATATGAAAGCTAAATATTTATTTCCAACAGGAGGGAGTCAGTGATCTCAAAACTCAGAAATATAAGTAAGTTATTTGAGAGTGAGAGTTGTAACTATTAATAAGTTTAAAAAATTGAAAATAGTTGCTTCTGGGGACCAGTAACTGGTATAACGGTTACATCGCTGGACTTCCAGGGAGTTGATCATAGTTCCCTGGAGCTGGCAGCTGAAAGCTCATGCCAGGCACATGTGTGTGTGTGCCCAAAATTCCAAGAGGAGAAGGGGTTGCGGTGTGGCCTTTCCATCCCCCAGAGGAGGTGTGACTTCTCACTGTCTGTCTCTCCAGCATCTCTCAAAAAAAAAAAAAAAAGAAAGAAAGAAAATAGTTGCTTCTGTAGAGCAAGCAATAGAGGGTTAGATGGGCTGAGAACTGGTATTTTTTGTGATGAGCATTGATAAATTTTACATATTTGTAATTCTGATAAGTGTTAAAAACTAAATGAGAAAAGACCATTGATATATCTAATTTTTTTTTTTTAGTGAATAAAAATTATAACATTTAAAGGTCATTTGATTTTATTTCTCTTTTTTCTTACCTGCTTTCTGTTTGGGGGTTGAGGGGTGTCACCATTTATTTGCTTGAATATAGGAATTTAGCTCCTTTCATAATATGAAAAGTGACCTTATTACATAAACTATTTGAAATGTTTTCTAGGTGTGGCTTTAGCTGTTATTCTCTGTAATACCCGGCATATTAGCGACAATGTTTTCCTAGAAGCTGCAAAGGTAAATGTTTTAAGTATTGTAGTTTATTTTATAGAGGATTCATTATAAAGATGAGTGGATCTTAAAATTAAAAGCAAATAGATAATGGATTAAATCTGCTTTAAAGAATTTGCACTTCCATTACTTTTTTTTTTTTTTCCAAATTTTTGCCATATTGTGTGTGTGCTCATGGGGTGGTGAGGGGAGAGACAGATAGACTGACTGACAGAAGTGAGAAATCATCCCCAAGAGGGAATGGCCATGCCATAATCCCTTCTTCATTCTCCTCATGGGGTTTTGGGCATGCCTGCACACTCACCTGGAGTGCGTTTCAAGCCAACGGGTCTGGGACTCAAACCATGGAGTTAACCATGTGGGATGCAGCACACTAACGGCACACGACCTGCTGGCCCCAAATCTCCAGCTATCCATTACATTGTTAAAAAAAATTTTAGGAACCCACAAGTGATGTGGTGGTTAAGGGTGCTAGACTCCCACATAGCCAACCATGGTTCTAGTCTTGGACCTGATAGCTTCCTTTCCCACATTCTCTCTCTCTCTCTCTCTCTCTCTCTCTTACTCACTCACTCACTCTGTCCCCCTATGGTCAAATTAAAAGAAATAAAGAAATAAAGCTAAATAAAATAATAAAGCTAAAGCTAAAGAAAAAAAATTTTTGAGAGGTTTTTGCTATAGGGCGCTTGCGCTCGCCAGACAGACAGAGAGAGACAGAGAGACAGAAAGCGAGAAATCACCCACCAGGGGGGATGGCCACGCCGCAATCCCTTCTCCATTCTCCTCTCGGGATCTTGGACACACATGCACACGCACCCGGCGTGAGTTTTAAGCCACCGGGTCTGGGACGTGAACCGCGGTCGACTACATGGGAGTCCAGCAACATAGCCATCACACTAACTGCTGGTTCCCAAGCTAAAGAAATTTAAAAAAAAAATTTTTTTAAAGGAGGTTTTTGCCATGGGGCACATGTACTCACTGGAGAGAGAGACAGAGACAGTGAGAGGAAAAGCGAGAAATCACCCCCCCCGGGGGGGGTGATGGCCACACTACAATCCCTTCTTCGTTCTCCTCCTGAGAACTTGGGCACGCATGCACATGCACCTGTTGTGATTTTCAAGCCACTAGTTCCAAGAATCAAACGATGGTTGGCCATGTGGGAGTCCAGCAACGTTACTACTCTGTCACCTGCTGGCCCTATTCAATACCTTATTTATTTGCCTATCTACTTTTACATAAAATTGCTTTTTTAAAAAGAATTTTAAATTTAACTTTATTTATTTTAATTTGACTTGGAGAGGAGAGAGCAAACCACCAGATCCACTACTTGAACCGTAGTCAGCCATGTGGGAGTCCAGCACCCTCAATCACCATGCCACCTGCTGGCCCCTTGTTTTGTTTTTTAATTTGTTATAGGGCATGTGCACTTGCCAGAGAGAGACAGAAGAGAGAGGGAGAGAAAGTGAGAAGTCACCCCCCACCACGGTTGGCCACACCACTATCCTCTCTCCACTCAGGATTTTGGGCACACACGCACCTAGCATATCTCTCAGGTCCAGGACATAAACCGCACAGCCAGCCATGTGGGGTCCAGCCACCTTAACCACCATACATACCACTCACTGGCTTGCATAAAATTGTTTAAGTAATGACTTTTCACTATTTTATTATAAACTAATAATTCCTTCATATTTATAACATTTACATGCACTTGTATATGTCTGGAGGTAACATTGTGGCAGCACAGATAAAAAATAACCCCTTCCATATCTGTGTACCCGTTGCATTTTTTTAAACAGGACTTGTTATGCAGCAGTACTCCTTCAAACTCCCAAGAAGCTGGACACAGAGGTGTGCACCACCACACCCAGCTTCTGTAAATATTTTTAATGGACACAGACTGGTATTTGGAGTGCTGGCCTGATGGAACTCTAGACTTTGCAATATGTAACTGAGTAACTACATTAATACAAATATTAATATCTATTTTTAGGGTAGCCGTTGTAATTATGCCAAGCCTAGTATAAAATAGAAAACATTAATGTCTTTTTATATGAGTATTTGCTTGGTTTTTAGTGGTAAACAGTTTTAATAGCTGCATTGGTTTAAGTGTATTTCTGCAAGACATAAGGAGAATTATGTTACCTGTATTACTCTGTTTTCCCAATGCTTTTTCCATTCTACTATGATTTGTTCTATTATTTAAACAAACAAAAGTCAAATGTTCTTTTTCTCCTTAGGCACTGACAAGTCAGTTGACAGATAAAGAGCTTGCCCAAGGGAGACTTTACCCACCACTTGCTAATATTCAGGAAGTTTCTGTGAACATTGCTATTAAAGTAAGTAATAATTTATACCTCATTACATGAATTTTAATGTATTTTCTTATCCAAGTAATACAAGTTAATCAGAGATCAATTTGAAACATTTAGAAGGGTGCAAAGAAGAAATTTTAAATCTCTAATAGTCTTACTATCAGAATTCAACATGTTATTTTTGGGGTGTTTATTGACTTCTAGGGGTTTTTTTTGCTTTGTAAACACGTATATCCAAGCATAGATACATGCATGCATACTTGTAGTCACCTCTCTCTCCTTTTTCTGAGACATTTTTGCTGTAGGGTGCATACACTTGCCAGAGAACTAGAGAGACAGAAAGCAAGAAATCAGCCCCCAAGGGGGATGGCCATACCATACTCTTTTCTCCTTCATTCTCTTCCTAGGATTTTGGGTACACATGCACACATACGCACGCCCAGGATGTTTTAAGCTGCTGGGTCTAGGATTCGAACCACGGTCAACTATGTGGGAGTCCAGCAGTGTAGAAATCCATTATTACATCTGCTGGTCCCAATATGTTCTCTTTATTAAGATCTTTTAAAAAGCCTTTGAGTATGATTTTGTTTTCTTAATCTGAATGTGGCGGTTTTATTTTTATCCATTAAAATTTTTAAATTTTTGTTATTGTATAAAAGTTTCTTCTTTCCGTATATATTTTTCCCACTGATTATTTCTTTTTTTTTTTTTTTTTTTTGGAGAGGTTTTTTGCTATAGGGTGCATGCACTCGCCAGAAAGACAAAGAGACAGAAAGCAAGAAATCACCCCTCAGGGTGGATGGCCACACCATAGTCCCTTCTCCTCCATTCTCTTCTGGGGATCTTGGGCACGCATGCACATGTACCCAGCGTGAGTTTAAGCCACTGGGTCCAGGACTCAAACCACAGTCAACTACATGGGAGTCCAGCGACATAGCCATTACGCTAACTGCTGGTCCCCCCACTGATCATTTCTAACATATAGGGAGGGTATTCATTTTTATGATTTTACTTGATAACTAGTTTATTTATTGAACAATCCTAATAATTTCTTAATTCTTTTGGAATTGTTGAGTTTTTTTGTTTTTCTGTTTTAATATATTAATTTTTTCCATGAGCCCAAAAGAGACAGATGCATAGCACTCCAACAAGATCTCAACACTACCACCCACCCTCTGCCTCAGCCAGCCCCGCATCGTTAGCATGTGTGTACCAGGGTATTCAGGGAGGTTCCTGTGGGGGATTGTCTCACACAGTGTCACATTTTACTTTTGCACCACCGTCTTGTCCCTTGGAATGACTGAATTTCTAATCATCTGCAAATAATTTATTTTTAAAAAACATATAGATTCTTTATCCCCTGTCTTACTAGAACTAGAGTAATTAGGTTGATAAGGCATCCTTGTGTTTTAACATTAAATTTGTGGCTAGTTTTGGGTTAAAGTAAATATTTTCTAACTTTTCTGAAGAAGTAGGCTTTCTATTCCTAATATTATTCCTAATGTGGGTCTGGGATCTAGAATCAGGATGCTTTGGGTTTGAAGCATAGCTCTCTTGGGCAGATTACTTAAACTCTTCATACTTTGGTGTCCTCATATATAAAATGAGAATATAGTTCTCATTTTACATATCTCATAGGGGTCTTGTGACATTAGAGAGTCCATGTAAAGCACATAGAACATGCCTGGCACCCAGAGATGCTTGTGGTGTGTTGCTGTGTTTGGGTTGTAGCCTTAACTTTACTTGAGCCTATGGTTTTGTATCCAACACCTGATTTATACTAATTCCTATGTTTATTCATCCAAATTCTGGTGCAAAATACATCTGATAACCTTGGATAGGTTTTCTCTCTGGTCAAGTCAGCTATGGCTAGGAAGTAGAGTCCTTCCACATAGCATGTCTTTGAGCCCATTCTTTCAGCAGGGCCGTGGCTGAATGGCATGGGCTGGGAGGTTATCCAAGAATGTCTACTGGAGTAACACATAGAACTGATATCTCTTCGTTGGATTCGAGCACTAGGGAAATGGTTATGATTCTTGTTGGGGTGTGAGAAAGTGACTAAAATATACCAAACTTATTGTGAGATTACAGGTAATATTTGTTTTATCTTTTTGAACACTCATAGTTATCAAATGTTTTGAAATGAGTGAAAGGAATGCTATATTTTTGTTCCGTAAGTAAAACAAAAATACCATTATTCTAAATTTATTTTTCCCGTGTTGTAATAGCACTTTCTCACAGATTAGTACTTGGCACCTACATACGATCTTATTTATTTTTCAGGTTACAGAATACCTATATGCTAATAAAATGGCTTTCCGATACCCAGAACCCGAAGACAAGACCAAATATGTTAAAGAGAGGTTATGGCGAAGTGAATACGACTCCCTGCTGCCAGATGTGTACGAATGGCCAGAATCTGCGTCACGTCCTCCCCAGATAACAGAATAGAAGCAGTCCTGCTGATAGATACCTTACATGCTTCAGGGAATCCCTTTTTTTTCTGACACAAAGAAACAATATCCTCATTATTATGGTGTTTTCTGTGTTTTGCTCTCCCCCCACACTTCGCTTGGCTTATGTTTCCTACACATCTGTTGGGGGCAGATGTGCTGACTGTATTGTTAATGCCTATCAGTACCCTAAAATCAACTAACCATAATTCTTTCCTCTAACTTGTAACCCATACCACATCCAAGAGATGTTAAAATGTATTCATTAATATTCAGTTACTTATTTACATTTTCCAAAGTAATTTGCTATTTACTATTATAGGTGATAATCTTCTTTCACCCAGTTATTTTAGCACTACTAAAATAGAAATTTTGCTTTTATGGATTTGAGTACAGAATTTTTAGAAGAAACCCAATTTTAAATTCTAAGGAAGAATTGTCAGTGTCTAAAAATACTTTTACATCTGCCTCATTTTACCATTTCTTTATAGTAGACCTAGGAAATATGAATTACTCTATTTATTTTCTGGAACTAAATCAAGGCGTAACCATAACAGTACCAGAGAGTAATAGGAACTACTGCTGCCTTTAGATAAATAAAAGTCATTGTTTCCAACAGTGTATGAAATTATAGTGTAACTTTTTTATTTAATAAACATAATATGTTAAGTTTAATTGCTTCAGTTATGCTTACTACCCAACTAGTTTGCTTATTATGAAAATACATATGTTATAGGGCCAGTAGGTGGCACTGTGGTTAAGATGCTGGACTCCCACATGTCTGATCATAGTTTGAGTTCCAGACCCAGCAGCTTAAAAATCATACTGGGCATGAGGACATGCATGTCCAAGATTCCAAGAGGAGAATGGAGGAGGAGGGATTGAACTGTGGCCCTCCCCACTGGGGGTGATTTCTCACTTCCCTCTCTATCGGGACAGATGGCATTGCCAGTTGGAGTGTGGGGAAATGCAATTGGTTAATCCATTTAACAGATGTGTGTATAATCAAGTAAGGAACTAGGTCACACTTTTATAAAATTTAGTTCTTCCATGAGTAATAAAGGAAGTACCTCCAACCAGGTCTTGATGCCTTAGTCCACCCCTAGCCAGACCTGGATCATAGGCATGCACATGTTCTTGTATGGAGGAAGGTCTATGACACAAACCCCAAGCCTTCCCAGGTGGGCCTCACAGAGCATCATGTTTAATGCCTGTACCGCTGTCTGGCCCCAAAATTTGTTTCTTTTAATTAAAGGTGATATTCATGTTATCTTTTTCAAAACAAAATCACCCTTAAAAATTCTCTGCAGGGTCTAGATTTTAGTTTTACTTTACGATAATCATAAGCCTGCTTATGCTTAGTGCATTGAAGACAGGAACATATGCTGAATAAGGGTTCTTATTTTTGGTTTTTAAAAATAATAATTTTTTAAATTTAACTTTATTTTTTTATTTAATCTGAACAGAGAGGGACAGAGTGAGAGGAGGAGAGAGAGAGAGGGGAAGTGAGAAGGCAAGCTGCCAGGTCCAGGACTCAAACTGCAGTTGTCCATGTGAGAATCCAGCACCCTTAACCACCACAGCACCTGCCAGCCGTTGAATGAAGATTTTCACTGAAGTGTTTGCTTCTTAAATATGTCTGGTACAATCCTTTTATATTTTTGAGGGTTTTGCTATAGGGCCCGTGCACTCGCCAGAAAGAGAGACAGAAAGCGAGAAATCATCCCCCAGGGGGGGATGGCCATGCCGCAACCCATTCTCCTCTCAGGACCTTGGGCATGCATGCACACACGCCCAGTGTGAGTTTAAGCCACTGGGTCCGGGACTTGAACTGCAGTGAACTACATGAGAGTCCAGCAACGTAGCCATCATACCAACTGCTGGCCCCTGTCTGTACAATCTTGATGAAAATAATTAAATATTTCTGGGAAGAAATAGGCTAAATGGCAAATAGCCTGCTTAAATAAGAAAGTTTTTTTTTAAAAAAAAGCTACCTATCATCTTCATGCTTTTTGCCCACCAGTATTTTAAGAAGTAGCAATTATTGAATGTAAATTAAAGTTTTTTAAAATTGAAGCTAAGAATGCAGGCAGAGACTATTAGCATTGATATAGGAAGGGGAGGCTGTGATGCATCAAATTAGAAAGAAACACATGTCCTTCTATGGGAATGTCTATCTATCAAAAAGGTAATTATTTTGAAAAATGGCACCTGGCAAATCTTTTCTCAGTAGTGAAGAAACTGTAAATTAGTTTGTCAGTAATTATTTAGTTGGAAAAAGTAATACGTGTTTTTCTAATCTGCTATCAGCAGTGTTGTAAACAGACTATAACTAGCACAGGCAAGGTTCATTGACGGTGATGGAAAAGTTTCAGTTCAAGATCTTGGGGGACCAGCAGTTAGCATAATGACTATGTCGCTGAACTCCCACGTAGTCAACCACGGTTCGAGTCCCAGACCTGGTGGCTTAAACTCATGCCGGACGCGTGTGCATGCGTGCCCAAGATCCTGAGAGGAGAATGGAGGAGAAGGGGGTGGGATTGTGGTGTGTCCATCCCCCCTGGGGGGTGATTTCTCACTTTCTGTCTCTCTGTCTCTCTCTGCCTTTCTGGTGAGAGCACGTGCCCTATAGGAAAAACCTCTCCAAAAAAAAAAAAAAAGAACTTGGTTAAAGTATTTTTAAAGGATGGATTTTTTTTTTTTTTAGAGAGATTTTTGCTATAGGGCATGTGCACTTGTCAGAGAGACAGAGAGAAGACAAGAAGTCACCTCCCAGTGTGGGGGAGGGTGCAATCCCTTCATTCTCCTCTCGCGATTTTGGGCATGCATGCACACATGCCCAGCTAAAGTTTCAAGCCACCAGATCTGGGACTTGATCCACAGACTTGATTATGCGGGAGTCCAGTGACATAACCATTATGCCATCTGCTAGTTCCCCCACACACACACTTTTTAAGGATAACTTTTCATACTCTAAAAGCTCCAGCTTCCTATTGGAATCATCTCTGCTAAGAATGTGCACCATTTGAGGGTCAGTTCTTTGGTGCAGTGTTAAGGTGGCTGGATCCCACATGACTGACTGCGTGGTCTGAGTCCCAGACCCAGTGACTTCAGAAACACACTGGGCCTGTGTGAATGTAGAGGATCTAAAAATCGAAATGGAGGAAAAGGGATTTGACAGGACCATGCCTCACGAAGAGTGTGTTCTCACTTTCTTTCTCTTCTCTCTGGAAGATGTCCTCTAGCAAATGAGAAAAAATAATGTAATATTTGAAAAATATGTAATATTTGAGAACACTAGTATAAATTTCAAAGCTCTTTATAGAGTTCTATTTAAAGGGAAGTTTTAAAGAACGAAGAGCACCAGTATTGTATTTCCATCAAGACCCACACGTGTTCAGACACAGGCACATTGCTGACATAGAAAATGACACAGATTCATTATCTACTTTGAGTCTTATGCACTTCAAGCATTTGAATGTTAAAATGAAACCTTTTAGGGGTCAGCAGATGGCATAGTGATTACATTGCTGGATTCCCAGATGGCCTACTGTGGTTTGAGTCTCGGACCTGGTGGCTTCAAACTTGCGCTGGCCAACTTGCTCTGGCTGTGTGTGCACACATGCCCAAGATCCTGGGAGAGTGGAGAAGGGATTGTGGCATGGCCATCCCCCCTGGGGGATGGAGTGATTTCTCATTTTCCCTCTCGCGGTCTCTGTCTCTGGAGAGTGCATGCACTCTAAGGCAAAAACCTCTTTTAAAAAAAATTGAAACCCTTTACAAAGGAGCTAGAGTAACATACTTAATCTTTAAAATATTTATGGTAATTGGACTACAGAAAATTGTCTCCTCATCTGAAATCAGGATAAGATTTTTAAGTACATTTAAGTAAGCAAAGAAGAAAACGGTTTAATTTCAAATTTTAATAAATTCAGGTGGCCTAAATTGGAAATGACTTTTATTTCATAATTCCCTTTATCCTTGCCAGGATTACTTAGATAAACTAGTGGTTAGATTTTAAAGCATTTATTATCTTCCTTTTAATAAAAGAAAAATTGCGCCTCAAAAAGAAAAATATGGAAATGTATTCATAGTTCAATTGCATATAATTAAGTTGAATGGCTTATTTCAGTAAAAGACTTTTGCCAACACACTGACTCTTTCCATTTAGCTATTTAACCTTGTTTTCTCCAAGTTAAAACTTACTCGCTGGGACCAGCAGATGGCATAATGGTTACATCACTGGACTCCCATGTAGTCGACCACAGTTTGAGTCCCAGACCAGGCAGCTTAAAATTCTCCCAGGAGGAGACTGGAGGAGAAGGGATAGCAGCAGAACCATTTCCCATTTCCCCCAGGGGAAGTGATTTCATTTTCTGTCTCTCTGGCAAGTGCCATGCCATATAGCAAAAATCTCTCTCTCAAAAAAAAAAAAAGACAATTTATTTGTCATGTTCCTATTTATGAAGCTATTCCTGCAATTCATCACACTTTTTTTTTTAAGTTTTAGGACTAAGTAAATTTGTGGATAAATATTTCCCAGTCTTTGTGATTTCCTTTTATGCTCTAGAAAAATTATTTTCCCTTTCCTAATTTTAAATGTTCCGACAAACCATTGATCCCTCTATAGTCATTGAATTCACAGCACACTGGTATATACAACTGGTGAAAAATGACAAACTAAATTTTATGCCTAGTACCTACTCTGTGTCAGGCATTGTTCTAAGCCTCTTGGATTTTCCGTCTTCACTGCCACCCTCTATTTCTGTGCCTCTTCTACAAAGGAGGACAGAGGTGCAGCATGGTTAAAGGACTTTGTCAAGGTCTGACAGTGACTGACAGAGCCAGGGCTCTTCACTTGCTTCCCTCTCAGAGGGAGGAGAGGCCTCTGTGTAGGTGATTTAAACTGGATCCGGATCCTAAATACCTTTCAGAATTGTTACTTTATATGAAAATTCTTTATTTGTTCTTGTAAAATTAGCCTTAGGTCTTTTTTTTTTTAAAGGGTTTTGCTATAGGGTGGTGTTTACTT